CCCCCACCCTTTATCCCCCCCGTCTCGCCCACTCCATTCCCTCCATTCCCCTCGAGCAGCACGCGAAAAGAAGAAACACAGCTTTGTCACGGTGCTTGTTCCCTTTGAGCGAATGATTACAACTGCCTGCCGCGCGCCGCCCGGCCGCACACCGCGCTGGTCAGCCCCCGCAGCCCCGCCTCCTTAATCGTCTGAGTGCCTCCATTTTTCCTTCGCATTGCTTCATTTATTTTTCCACCCCGTCGTGTCTCTTTCCTTTTTCACTCGACAACGCCTTCTCCCCTCCCCACCCCGTGCTTCCCTCCTCTCCCCAATCGTCACTGCTCCTATTCTTTTGTCTCCCGTCTCCCCCACCACTCTGAAGAAAACAATCCTTCGCAGTGGAAACAAATCCTTTGCAATGCGAAAGAAATCCTTCGCTTTGCGAAGAAATCTTTGCATGGTACTATAAGTGTATCAGCGCCCCCCTCCTCTCCCTTTCTGGACGTTTAATAAACGAATTCAAAATTCTCATTCCACTTGCGCCCTGGCTGCAGTATGGCTGCTCGCTCTCCCCCTTCCCCCTCCCTCAAAACTCATTCGCAGCTCGATATGGCGAGGCGCCAATAGCAATGCACAGTATCGCATCCATTCTTTATGCCTCTATCTCTGCATCGCGCTCGTTTATGCAGTGCTTACCTTCCTATGGTGAAGTAGGAATAAGACTGTTCTCGTGTACGCTGCTCTGCGGTTATCTCATCTCTCTGAGAGTGTATTTGAATTGGTATTGTATAAATTATTGTGCGCAGACCCCGAAATGAGCAAATTGAAAGCTTCTCTATAAAGTACGTTATTTTTCTTCGGATTCTTTGTTAGTCAATTTACAGGGTGCTTGACGCCTGCGGGGCTTAGGGTAGGCCAGCCCGCAGTACACTCATGCGCTACAGGCATATTATTGCCTACCTACAAGGCGCTACAAGAGCTTGCAGAGCCATGGAGGTACTTTCAGGGTGATCCCTTTCAAAAATCCAATTGAGCTCATCGTGCGGCGTTCCATAATAGTAAATTTCTCTTTATATTTCGGTTTTCGTCCCATCCAGCGCCTCTATCTGCGCTGCTCAGGCCACACATTATCTACACTCGGGGGAGGCTGGCGCTCGCGTTGGCGCTGGACCAGGGAGGCTGCGCCGGGCCCCGAGGGGCGCGCAGAGCCGAGCTGGGGTTGCCGGCCGCACAGGGGCAGCGTTAATTTGTGCTTGTCCCAGTCGTTTCCATAAATGATGGACAAACACATTTCAGAGAGGGAGAGAGGCGAGAGGGGGTAGAGATGGGGCTCTCTAGGCCGTGCGACATGAGCGCGACTCGGCATAAATCTCGTTAAATAAATAACGGGCTTGCCGCTCTCTCTTATTTTCATAAAAGCGCGCCGGGGCTTCGCGTGCAACCGCTCTGATCGCGGGAGAAAGCCGCGGTCGACATTGAGGGAGTGCGGCGGGAGACAACGACCGGCGAGCGCAAAGTGGGGGGGGGGGGATTTGATGTAGTGGCAAAATGTGTATCTCTGTTAGGGTTGGGGTGGCGTGCGCTGCAGCTGGCGTGAGCCGTTGTAACCCTCTCCTCGGACGAGCCCCGCCTCGCCACGCTGCAGAGAATGTGGCGCATGGGCGCATGTAAGCCGCCTCCCCCAAAGTCCCTCTGTCAAGAGTCGTCTGCGACTGCCCCCCCCCCCCTCTCTCTCTCTCTTTCTCGTCTCTTGGGGGTCGCCCTCGCTCCCTCTATACAACATATCACATCTCTTTATTCCTCCATACTCGTCCCTCGCTGATAAAAAAAATAATTCCGATTGTCTGTCGCGCCTCCGCGCTCCGCCGCGGCTCGGCTGATCGCGTAGTTCTCTCGGCAGTCTGCGCAGTGCGCAGGTCTTGTAGTCGTTTGCAGTATTCTCACCCCGGCACGCCGCGCTCTCAGGGTATTTGGAGGGAGGGGAGGGAGGGCAGGGGAGGGGAAGCTGGTCGTTGTTGTGCGGATCAGTGCCCCCGCCGCGCGCCCGGCCGGAGCCCCCGTGGAGCCAGCGGGGCGAGCGCGCCGTCCAGGATTCCTAGGAGAGCGGGGGATAAAGGGCCCCTCCCGGATGGAGCCTTTCTACGGATAACGGGGGAGCCCTGTCAAAAAGAAACTTGTAAAATCGTTATTTTAGAGTGAAATACAAAAAATATATGCTTTGTGTAAAATAATAATGTAAGATTTACGTGAAACATGTTCATGGGGTTGTAATACTACAGTTTGTAAAGTTGTAAAATAACAAGCTGTACGTATCGACTTGAAATTCATTGATGAGCAAGGCTATGCTGTCGTAAAATTACAGCATGTTTTGTAAATCGTAAATTACAAATTATAACGAAAATTTACGAGGATACTTTTCACGGTGTCGCGAGGTGTATAATAACTTTTGTTTTCGCTAAATTGTCCTCGTATTTCGAGCTGTTGTGGTCCTCGGTGTACGTCGTATGTTATAATTCTGTTTTTCTGTGCGGGGTAGCATCATATGGTCACTCTTTGTGTGCGTGCGTGTACGTGTGGACAGATTGCTCCCCTCCCGTCGCGATGATTGAGAGGGTCATGAAGGCGTCCGAGCAGCGATGGCAGAGTGGAGGACGAGGCGGAGGACGGCCAGCACACGCCTAGCAGATAATATACAACACGCTCTGCTACACTGTCGAAAAGGAATAACAAAAAAGAAAAAGCAGTTGTGCAAAATAATGCGGTTTTAAGAGTTTGAAGGAAAGTTTTTGTGGAGCGGGGACTCGCGTATTAGCAGCAGAGCAGAGCCGACGACGGTCTCTGAAGGTTATGACGCGCACACCAAAGTGTAAGTTTTTTACTTAGTTTTCACCTCGGTACACGGTTAAAACAACGTCTGACCATTTATTTATTTATTTTCATAAAAGGCGAAAACTTTGAGGAACTCTTCTAGTTTGATGAAAACTCCTCCAATGTGGTACTTTTTCCTCTCCTTGAAGAGACTTCCTATACCTTTCTCGTCGAAAGTACATATCCAGGCGCTGCTGATTCGGTGACCAACTCCCCCCTGTCTGCGCGCGTTAATTTATTTGACAGTGTGCGAGCCAGCAGCTCGCACTTCGCTTCGAGATTCGCATTCCCGTGGGGGAGGAGAGCAGCAGACGAGAGCTGGAATAGAGAAGACTCATGTGATGCCATATTTCGAGAACCGCAGTAAGGTTTTAATTGGGGAGGCTTGCCTCTCTGTCTCTCACATGTGTGTGTGTGTGTGCACGCGTGGTGAAGGAGGGAGAGAAGGGTAGCATGGCGACCTCGAGTCGACCTCGTCCCTGTGGTCCCTCCGCCGCCAGCTCAGCCAACTCGCTTCGCAGCGCCAGGGAGTGTAAAGTTTGATAAAGAAACAGCCGTACACGTGTGTTGCCTGCAGGCTCCGCTTTTCTAGTGTTGCTCTGCTGTTTCTCCCCCTCGTCTCTCGGCTGCTGCTGCTGCTTCCCCAAAGTTTGTAATTGAAAGGGTGTTACAGGTGTGTGTTTTAGGAGGTGATATGTTTCTCATATAGCCGCACATTTTGTGTCACAAAAGGCAGTGAAAAATAATATTTCAAATAATTAATCACCCCTCTTTCTGCGCTAATTTATGACATGTTCCAGCTTCAACATTCTTATCGTTGTTTTCATATTCCTTTCATCGCTTTCCTCCTTCTGTAATATCCCCTTGATTATATTTTCTGTGTTTACAACTGAAAGTGAAATTACAAAGAAGAGTTGTACAATGGTCTTCTGCTCTGGTATTAGTTACATTCTGCGTATATGGACCTTTTGAGCGAAGCTGGGCTCTGGGTCGGCTCTGGGCTCTCCCTTGTTAGTGTCTTCTCGTGTCAGCAGTTGCCTGTAGTGCGGTCATGTTGGCAGGGGGGAGGGGGAGGGGAAGGGTACACAATGGGCTCATCACCTTTCAACGTGGGTCGCGCAGAAGAGGGCGGAGCTAAGGGGTCAGAGAGAGAGAGAGAGAGAGAGAGAGAAAGAGAGAGAGAGAAAGAGAGAGAGAGAGAGAGAGAGAGTGGGAGAGAGAGAGAAAGAGAGAGTGGGGGGGTCCTTTTGGCCGTCGTGCTCAATCGAGTGCGAGAGAGAGAGAAGGGCGAATCTTTGACCCTTTGCACCGCTACGGACTTGCTACGCTGGCCATCTCCCCTCTACCCCTTTGGTTGAACCACCTTGAACTCTCGCATTCAGGCCGCCCTCAGGCAAGCTCGACCTTTCGCATATTCGTGTTCGAGAGCATCGTCTTCAGCGGTCCGTGCGGTTAGGAGCGTCTCCAGTGAGTTCTCTCTCCCTCTTTGGGTAGAGGGGGGAGGGGGCAGGGAATGGCACACGTGAGTGTGGTTGCCGTCCCCGTGGATGTGGTATATCGGGCTCGGCTCATACACCGCTTTTGCGTTACTCCCTTTCCCACCGTATCACTTCCCCCCTCCCACCCCCCACCCCCCATAACCTCGAGACCTTGAGTGACCTGTCGTCTTCAACGTTCACAGTTATGATGGTCTCGACTGTCGTTTGCAGGTACGTGTGCTGGACGGCGTACCTGTTGCGCTACAACAAGGGCCACGTGGAGACGTGCGTGCTGCCGGGCGCGCCCTTCAGCCACTACTACCAGCAGGAGCCCACGGACGAGGGCATCATCATGGAGACGGACCTGGCCGTCAAGGCGGTAAGGACGCGATTCGTGTTACGCTGTAAAACGTGTTTTTTATTGTTTATTTTTTTGGAAAAAAGGGAACTCGTATGAGTAAAACGGATTTTGACGGAACCTCCTTTTAAAAAAAATGTGGAAATTTAACTTATAATCCGAGGCGTATTCCTTAAACTAAAAGAGGTCCTCAAAGCTTTCACCTCCTTTACCTCAAAAAATCAGATGCAGCTTTTTACCGAGTAGAAAACGAAAGTAGGCACAATAAGAAAAAGATGCAATATTCGGAAAGAAAATGGAAGCCATTTAGCCTACAAGCTTTCCCGAAACCCCTCCTGTGACCGCCTGTGACCGAGTCGTGACCGACACGTAGACGACATGTCGTGTGACGATTGCTGCGACGCGCGTGACACTCGTGTGACAGCCTCGGCTGCCTCCCTCCCGCGCGCGGCATGACGGCCCGACAGGCTCGACATGGCCAATATAACCGTGCTGCTCCTCCTCGGCCGCCGCTTCCGCATCATCTCGCCGCCACGCCACAACCCCACCTCACCACCCCCCACCTCACCCG